TTTTTTCTAACAAGTAAACGAGTTAATTGAAAAATTAATAAGAATTCTATTAATAAGAATTCTATTTCTATTCTATTTTCTTTCATTTACTTATCATTTCTTGATTTCTTCACTTATTTATTAATTAACATGAAAAATTAAAATAATATTTTAATCGGGTAATGTACTGCGAGCGCGAGGAGCCCCATGGCATGTTACGTTCCTGCATACCTCGGCAGCGCGCCGTCTGATTGATTAACTTTAACTGCTAATAACTCCGTGAGTAATGGTCTGAGCCAAATTTGAAGAAGGGATTTTTAGTTCAAAATTTCATCCTCTTTCACTCTGTGAATCATTAATTGCCCATTACGGGACACCCTGTATACGGGGTGCTCAACTTTTTGACCGCCGTTTATGAGAAGATAAAGGGGACTAAGCAAAACAGAAAAGTACTGTATCATTTTGCACTTGGAGGATTAGTTATCGATATTAATGTTCAAAAATCGCCGTATTAACCCAACCTACTGGCAAATGTAAGCGCGCGGTGAGATCTGCCCGCGCATCGGCCGCCGCTCGAGACGGTGCGCGGCGAGGAGTAGAAGGCCGCTGCTGCCGTATTAGCCCAACTGGCAAATATAAGCATGCCGCTGTCCGTCCACCGCTTACGCCAGGGGTGGGCAAAATGCTGCCCGCGGACAACGGGCGCCCGCGGGCATGCCCGCGGGCATGCCCCCACTCCAATCATCGCCCCACCACGTCTCAATCATATTCGGAACTATACTTCTAAAGCGCGACGTTCTTTCCCACTTGCCGAAACTGTCTCCCCACTCTTGCCGAAACTGTCTCCCCACTCTTGCCCGACACGCACAGCTATTGCCCGCGGGCAAACGGGCGCCCGCGGGCAGTGAAAATTGCCCAGGCCTGGCTTACGCGACCGTTCGCACAGCAGTCAACTTTTTTCCTAAGTCTCCCTACTCCTCGCCGCGCACCGCCACAAGCGGCGGCCAATGGGCGGGTGGACGCATCTCACCGCGCGCTTACATTTGCCAGGTCGGGCTAATATGGTGATTTTTGAACATCAATATCTCGATAACTATTCCTTCAAGTACAAAATGGTAGAGGGCTTTTCTGTTTGTCTGAGTTCCTTCTATTTTCCCGTGAACGGCGCACCGCGGCGGTCAAAAAGTTGCGGAGTACCCTGTACATCTAATAAATCACAATTTCATAGATAAATTATTATACAAGACACGTAAGCATTAATTGGACATATCATGTTTAAACTTTCATACAATTATGTCCAATTCTATTAAGATAACAAATGTACGCGATAAAATTTGATTCTAAATCTAAACAATAGAAAATGCATCTGAAACAATGTATGTATGTATAAACATTGAAGATCGGAGGTATACATATACATCATATGTAGGTAGAAGAGTTACACATACATTTTATGTATACAGGGTGTTAATTAAAGACTGCCCACTAAGTACATAGCGTTATTCCTTATAAAAATCTCAGTCGAAAAGTCTTGAACCGTTTTTTTCTATCATGCTTAATAATGAATGAGTTAAAACAATCTACTTAGCGCCGACCTTTAGCTGGGCGCACGTCAGTGAGCCACGCGCCTGGTAGTGTGCGTGAGCGTTCGGTCGCCGCGCCGCCGCGCCGGCTCTCTGGCGTGCGCCCGGCTAAAGGCCGGTGCTCAGTGGATTGACTCATTCATTATTAAGCATGATAGAAAAAAATGGCTCAGGTCTTTTCACCTCAGATTTTTTATAAGGAATAACGCTATGTAATTAGTGGGCGGTTTTTAATTAATACCCTGTATACATGACATGTCTTTGTTTGATGTTCATTTCATATGTGTATAATACATTGCACATGGCATGTATGTACATTGCTGGATGTACAAATGTACATATTATGTACATGCATGTATGTACATACATAGTATATATTATATACATATGTAATTATGTACATACATAGTCTATATATTATATGCGTATGTAATTATGTACATCCTGTGTATGTACATGTATATCTTGTGTACATATGTACATACCGTACAAGTACATATACATGAAATGGATGGTACATATACATGTACCTGTAATGGATAAAAATCAATATACATAGAATGTTATGTATACAGGGTGTTGAGACTTTTACCGTAATTGCGTTTAATTTTCGGTAGTCGACGCAAAATCTTATTGCCCCATTTTTCTTCTTTACCAAAACAACTGGGGACATCCAGGGGTTTTGCGACTCCTCAATAATTCCTTGATCTTCCATCTGTTTAATAATTTTATCCACCTCCCCCGCAATTGTAGCGGAACTCGTCGAGATATCTGTTTAATCGGGGAAGAATCTCTTACGTTAATAGCATGTTCAAAAATATTGCAATTATCGGCAACATTACTAGAAGAGAATACATCTTTAAATTCATTTAAGAAAACTCCAAAATTTTCTTTTTGAGAAAGATGCAAAGATTGTTTTCCACAAAGTTCCTCCAAAGCGGAAGAAATCTTTCCCGAAGACGTAACAACATGTGCACAATTGAAAAGCTCATTTCATCAGAACCACGGAAAACAGAATCAAAAACATTTTCAAGATTAATTAGTTTTAAGAAATCAACTCCAAATAAACATGTATCGTCTATCTTTGCAACATACATCGGCATTTCCAAAGAATATTTACCGATTTCTTCTTTTACAACTTTATTTTCAATAGAAACTTTTTCACTGGTAGGATATTTTAGCCCAAAATCTCTCGACAGAAAACTTAACCCTTTTTCTCCAAAAAACGTTCTACTAATTAAGGAAACATCAGAGCCCGTATCTATTTTCATCCAGCCTTCCGTTTATCTTACCGGAATAACATAGCGCTAAAAAAATACAAACCCCAAATTAAAAAACAATTTACGAAAAAACTGTCAAATTCGTTATTTTTTAAATACTTTCGGCGTTTTGCGCGATCGGAAAATGTTGTCCGAATTTGATAATTTTTTTTGTTATGCTAATATATAGGTACCTAACGCAACTTTTCCGCGGTATAGCAAATCGAAAATATAACTTTGAAATTTTTCGATCCACCCTAATGAGCATGCCAAAAGTTTGCTGGTAAAATGTGTTGTCAAAAGAAAAGAATGTGGAATTTAAGACAAAACCGAATGGCCAACAAGAACTCGTCACATGGAATTGCACATTTGGTACTTATGTAATGCCACCGTTTTAGTATACTATCCTCAGCTAACTCTATCGGTACGTTAGTGAAGAGTGATATCACGTCTAATGAAATGATATCGTAATCTTGATCCACGTGAAGTCCGTTTAGTTTGTTAACTAATTCGAAACTGTTAAATATATGGCTATTGGGTTTAGGAACCGCAGAATAAATGATTTTATGTAAAAAGGTAGAAAACGCGTAAAGCGGAGTATTGACAGAAGAGACAATAATCCGTAGAGCGCAACCTGTCTTATGTATCTTTGGCAATCCATAAGCTCTCAGTAGGGCCCCCCGGTAGTGGGCCCCCAATAAGTTTTTTTATAATAAGTTTAGCCATTATAAAACGAAAATGAAAGCAAACAACACGATACATAAAGTCAACGCGATGGTGCCATTGACAACATATGTCAAGGTCAAGGTCATCGGAGCTGACTCCTGTGTAGTACATAAATACCAAAACTTTTTTGTTAATAACTTTTTAATAAACAACGAGTGCCAGCTAAAATCTTCTGAAGGTCACTCAGGAGGGTGACCTTGACAACATACGTCAAGGTCAAGATCATCGGAGCTGACTCCCCTAGGTATAGTAAATACATAATTACCCAAATAAATGAATTTAAAAACTCATACAGTTTTTTACCAGAAAACCGACTCCATTGAGCAACTCAACAAATAAAACGTCTACTTTCTAAATCTGCCTAAATCTTAAATTTTGAAAAATTATTTGTGTAACTCAATTTTTCTGATTATTAAGAGGAATGTTAAAGTTTTGATTTGAGCTCTATGTCATCTCACTACGATGAATTAATAAATATTTTGCTATAACAGATTTTTAGAAATTGTGCTAAAATTTTTAACATCTAAATAGTGGTCCATTTTTGTGTATGAGTAAAACTGAAAAAAGCCATGTATTATATTTTTTTAAATTCGCAAAAGTTATTGAGTAATAAACGAAAACGTTTGCAACGCACGAGAAGCAGTAGGTCGGCAGACATACAAAATGATTTACTTGTTTATGTCTCTTGCGATTCAATAGATAAGTGATGAGCAGTGATTGATACACGATGATCGAATTGTAGGAGATACAAATAAACAAATTAGTTTTCATATCTATCGAATCCAGCTCACCGCTTTTTATGCGCGCATAACTTTTCTTTTCAGTTATCATTTCAATGTACCGTCATCTTTTGGTTGATCACTTTTACGTTGGATACTCCATATGTATACTTTATTTGAACAATGTTCTAACAAAACTGATGAGTTTTGACTAATTTTGACTAAATTTAATTTAATTTTGTTTATTATAACAATTATTCGTGCATTATAATAACTATTTAAAATTAAAGGTGTTAGTTTTAATTGAATTGGTGTATGGTAGCTTAATAATATTTTTGTGTGAATATTGTATACTTTTTAACTCTGTAAATTATGAACAATTATTTAATTTCAACAATTTAATGTTAATTCGATTATTATCTTATAGATTTACTTTTTATAGACAAACATAATAGCTCTTATATTAAATTTTAAAATTAAGTTAGGTTAGGTTATTATATTAAAACAATTATAAATTAAATTTATAATTTAATATAAAAAATATAAATTAAATTAAAACAATGAAATTACAATCAAGCGTGACAAAACGAAGGAATTTTGCGTTCTTTAACTTACGCGATCAATGTACAACAATATTAGTGAATTAGTTATTTCTGTCGAGATAAACTAATTTCAATAAAAAATCATCTGATGCCGTCTGTCTCTCTCACACACTTGGTGTCGCTATGTTACAGGCAATGTCCGACAGCACGCGTTGACCAGCATCGTTGAGCGAAGCTACCGAGAGTATCACTCGTCACACATTCGCTTGTTCACACGCAAATTTACTACTGCTCTAACATGTCGGACCTTGCCAAGCCTTATCAACTCGTCCGATCAGCAATGTGTGCCGATTCTCTTCGCTAAGTATATACTCCTTCCTTCCGGACACAAACGGTTTCAGCTTTTCTCAACGAAAGAACATACGTATCGGACCCATAACACAAGGCGGAAAAATTATAAACTTTGATGTAAACACGCGAATTATATTAGTGTTCATCGACGACTCAAATTGAAGAGTCGATCGCGATAATAGAAAGTTAGATAAACTAGGAGCTCAATGTATAATAAAAAGTATACATACAGAATTCTCAATATGCATCTCGATTTCTGTAATGAAATTGACCGAAAATTTCTAATCTAATATATATTTTATTTGTATTCGACTTTTATGTATCAGAAACAGAAATCAAATTTAATCGTCAACAGAACCAAATTTATAAATATTTATACAGGGTGCTCCGCAACATATTGAAGACCGGTCATGGGAAGGTAGAGGGGTCTAAGACAAACAGAAAAGTACTGTACTATTTTGTGCTTGGACGAATAGTTATCGAGATACTGTATTTTAAAAATCGACGTATTAGCCCAACCTACTGGCGAAAGTAAGCGCGCGGTGAGATGCGTCCGCTTAGCGGCCCCGCTCGAGGCGGTGTGTAGCGAGGAGTAGGATGGTGATGCGCGGCGAGGAGTAGGGAGGCGAGGCGCGCCGCTGCCCGTCCGCCGCTTACGCGACCACTCGCACGTGTCTCCCCGCGCTGCGTCAAAGTTCGTAGCGATGGTCGCTACTCACCGCGCGCTTGCATTTGCCAGTGGGTTGGACTAATACGGCGATTTTTAAAATTCAGTATCTCGATAACTATTCGTCCAAGCGCAAAATAGTACAGGACTTATCTGTTTGTCTTAGTCCCCTCTACCTTCCCATGACCGGTCTTCAATATGTTACGGAGCACCCTGTATACAATGATTTTTTTCTATAAAGAGCTGGTAATAACAAGTTTTTTTGTATCAATGGTGTCTGGTGCGTTTGTATTCAACAGTTAAATTTTTTAATATTTAATAAGTAGTATATTTTTATTACTTATTTTATTAAATTTATGGTTTAATTGTTTCATGTTCAAAAACAACAAAAAGAATCAAAGAATTGCTTATTCTAAAAAAATATGGTAAATATTTATTACAGGTCACTCCCTACTAAATGACTTCTGGTTGACTTTGATGTTGGCTTTTACCACCTTAAAGATCAAGATCATTTACATTTCCCGTCGCCCATTGTTCATTAAAGAGTTATTAAAAAAAGAAATTTCATAAATGCTATGTAGTTTACAATATCATAAGATTGAAAACGACACGCACACACGCGCGCGCGCGCGTGCACGCTGGGGAGCAAGGGGACCTTCGGCCTCCCTTCCCGCACCTACCCCGCCGGTAAGGAGGGTGGACAAGTATTTACAGTTATGGAAAGGATAATTCGTTAAATGAGATGAATTATCAACATTCTGTAGTTAATCATAGGTCCTCAACGTCCTCAACGTGGATCAAATTACTGGTGTGTATACTGGAAATACATATACAGGGTGAGTCACAACATTTGTGACAGGGCTCGTGAGAAGGTAGAACGGATCGAGATGAACAAAAAAGTCCTGTACCATTTGCAATTTTTGCAATAGTTAACGAGTAATTAATTATCAAAAATCGTCGTCTTTGCCCTGCCCACTGTCCAATTCGAGCGCGTGGCGAAATGTGACCGCACGGCGATCGATATTGCCAGGCGATGGGTGGGGACGCGAGACGCGGGAGCGGTGACGTAAGCTCGCCGGCAACGGCGCGCTGGCCCCCCCCCCCCCTCGCCTGG